TTCAATTCTTACTTGTTTTATGAAGATGTTTTAGCTTTCTTTCCGGTTTTGGGAGCAATTTGGGCCCCTTGCCGATTTTAAGGGATATTTTCTCCCTTTTACCAAATTTTGGGAAAGTTTTGTACTTCATTTACTTTATTTGTGCCACACGTCATTAATGACTTGTCCATTTGTGATGAGTCATATGTCATGTGGAGCTTTGTGATGCATCATTTGCATGCAACGAAATTTATATGTCTACAATCCCAAACTGAGTGTCAATGAAAGTATATAATTTAACAAAAATTGCATACACATTAGATTTATTACACATGGGAAATATCCAAGTAAACCTTGTATATTCATCAACAAAAAGTACATAGTATCTATATCATTCCATGATTTTATAGGAGTTGGACCCTAAATATTAGTAGGAACTTTCTCAAAAGGAACCAAACATTTGTCATTTCTAACAGGAAATGGTATCCTAGGACATTTTCCCTCTAATATAAGAAATACAAGTAGTACATGTATCATCTAACTTGTGTACAACCTTAGATTGTTTCAACATAGCAATCATAGTATCATGAGCAGGGTGCCCCAACCTTTGGTGCCAAACATTAGATTTCACCATTTTTCCTAAGTAAGCTACTGGATCTTTTGTAACAGACTTTAACCCTCTTGAAGCTTTAATCACACTGGAATATGAAATAGCTCTTCTAGTTTACTCTTTCCAGTGATACATCACCTCCCTTGTCTTCTTATCCTGCACAAAAAATTCACATTCATCACATATAAACTAGTTGTTATTATCTGCACATAGTTGTTTAACTTAAAGAAGGCTTCTGGCAATATTTGGGACATGAAGAACCTTACTGAGAACAAGAGAGTGATTATCAGTTTGAATTGCAAGTGGAACCAATATGTTGAATTGGTCAACTTAAACCATTACCAATGGTTATGTTATCAGAACCTTGATAAGGAGCCACTTGATTCAATGCAGTTATATTTGCAGTCATATGATGAGAAACACCTGAATCCACAATCAATGAATCCTGAGGAAGAATTTATGGCAGATAAGGATGGTGGTGGTGGCAGACCGCGAAATGCATAATTTCCTCTATGGAAGCAATCAAGTGCAGAGTGCCCCTTTTTTCCACATATCTGGCATTCTACAACAAAACCAACTGAAGCATTGTTTGTGTTTCTGTGAAAATAGTTTATTGTAGTATGTCCCCTTTTATTGCAAATCTGGCATTCAATTACAACATTTGTTCTTGCTTATGTATTGCCTGACCATGGTCCAGCTCCATTCTATGCTTGTCTTGATCTTGCAGAATAATAATTGTTTCCATTATTGTATCCATCTTCCTCTGAAGCTGTTACTATTTCTATAGTTGCTACCATTATTCTTGTAGTGACTGCCATTGTTAAACTGTTAACCCATATTGAAATTCTGAGACTTGATGTCCTGGAGGAAATGACAGTGTTGTATTTGTGCCAAATATCTGATACTCAACAAAGTTTTGATTAGAATTAGATGAAGATGCACCATTTGAAGATCCATGACCATACATGATAGAACCCGAACTAGTATTCTGTCCAGAATAAGAACCTTGAACAAAGAGAGTAGTCATATTTTGAGATAACAGATTCATTTCTCCTTCAATCTCCTTTTCAATACCAAGTAATTGTGCACGAAATTTTCTTAAAGTAATTGAAGACACCCTTGCCAAAATAACAGTTCGAATAACAGCATATTCCATAGGCAAACTAGCCAACCCAGCAATTATAATGTCATTGTCAGAAATTGTCTCTCCTCTAACCATCAATTGATCTTTAAGGGTTAATCTCAATTTACTACCCTGAAGTTTCATGGTTTTCTATATTTAGTACATGAAGTTTTTTTTATCCCGAAGTGGTACCTGAAGTCATAATCTTTCGACACTTTCATACATCTGTTAAGCTTGTTGTTAAATCAACCATTAACTGATGACGTGGCGCCCACGTGGACAATGACTAGGCGCTACGTGGATATTAAAAATAATTAAAAATAAAAAATATAATAATAATAATTATTATTATTATTATTATTATTATTATTCTTTTTATAAAAAAATACTAGGGCGCGTTTGTTTGGCCTCGTTAAATTTTATTGGACTAAACTGGCTAGTCTGTATTTAATGCGAAGAGAGACTGACTTTAATGGGACTACGTTGGACTTGTATTCACAAAACAAAATCCTTTGCTAGGCGGTCTTAATGAGAACCCACCCCACCCCCCCCCCCCGGGCGCGGAATGGAGTGGATTGCTAATCCCGTCTCCAATCCCTGCTTTGCTTCGCCTTAGACTCGTTCAGGCTGCTTCACATCGTCCTTGTAGTCAATGGTCACCGTCAAAACCCAAATCCCAGTTGATGGTCTTTGTCTCCAAACTTGAGTCATTTTCAAGCTTGCGTAGCGTCATCTACAACAACTCCCAACTAGAGCGGGCAACAACCGACAATGTCTCTGCACAACTTCAACGGAGGCGCGACTGAAGCCTCTACAAATTGAAAAAAGAAAAACAATTTGGGATTTTCTAGGTTTTATTTGAAGAGAAATCATGGGTTTATTTGAAGAGAAAGCAAATGTAAATAAGAGAAATTATTGGTCCCATTTTTTTTTGGGTTTGATTTTTACTATGAGCAATTGTGGACGGTGCGAAAAAGAGACATCAAATGAAAAGAAGAGAAGAAATGAAAGGTTGAGAGAGTGAGTGAAATATATATAAAAAATAAAAAGATTAATAATAATAAAAATTAATGAAATGAATTAGAAAATGACAAAAAAAATATTTGAATTCCAAAAATAATTTAGTTTGTAATTTAGTCTTACACTGCACGAAACGTTTTAGTATATTTATACTAATTAGTTTGTGTCAAGTCAATCTAGTGTAGTCCTTCAAATTAGTCCAGTTTGAGATAATTTAGTGCAATAAACACACCCTTAAGTTTTTTGTTACTCTAGTGAAACAGATGGGACACAAGATATACTTCTTTTTGGACTTGTTTAGATCGATGCCTTACCTCCCCCAAACCTGGGGATATATAATACAATAAGCACTCGAGTTTGATGCAGATCGGGTTTGCCTAATTTACCACTAGGAATATCATCAAGTGTTAAAAGAAATAATATTACCACGAATAAAGGGTAACTATCACATGAGACATTTAGATGTGAAATGATGAATTTGAGGTATGTGAATCATGACAGTAGTTTAGAAGTTTTGGTCCAATGATGTATCTCCACGCGTTGAGATTTGAATGGACGGACTCGATACCCTGGAACAAGGACATTGGAGTTGTAAACTACGGAATTGGATCCTCTCCTAAGCAGGAGATCAAGATCCTCCTGATCCACTAATACTGGCCGTTGGATTTTGATCCAATGGCTATAATTATTATAATTTTTAGAGGGATCCTATGTTTGTAACCGTTGGGTCAAAATCCAACGGCCCGTGTTAATGGATCAGGAAGATCATGATCTCCTGCTTGGGAGAGGATTCAATTCCGTAAACTACCACCTTAGTGTCGTCTTATTAACAACCCCAATGCCACTCTCTTTGCCATTTATAACTAAAATCTCCACTCAAAGGCTCCACGAGCACAATTCTAAAGGATGCAATCGTAATTTGCCCAACTGGGAAGAGAGTAATATTCAGAATTAGGATAAGATAATGGAGTAAGATTCTTTCCTCTTCTATTCTCATCTCCTTCTCTCCCATCTTCTCACACATTGATTTTTGTTTTATTGTTTCTATAAAAAAAAATCAATATAAGATGTTGATATGGCTTAACCGTGACCGTTTAAATAGAAGTAGAGAGATTAGAAGGGAAGATAATCCTCCTCCTAAGATTATACCATAATATAGATGGCCCAACAACTAGTGATTTTTTTATTGTTGGGTTGCTAATATTATAAAAATTAAAAATTAAAAAAGTAAATAAATAAATGTTGACAAAGCCAAGTAGGAACCAATGGCTGACAACACTAGCAGGGACGAAGTCATAAATTCAACTAAGAGGTGGCACCTTAAAAAACTTAAGCTCATTTTTTGGACAAATAAAGCTAGGATTTTCACAAATGCTAAAAAAATTAGTTACAAAATGCCTAATTTTATTACTCTATTGTCTAATTTTGTCTTTAATTGTTGTATTGACAATCTAGTACTTATTGGTACTAATTACTCAAATACATGCAACTCGATAAAATTTGGAGATTAGTGCGTGAGGATAAAAAAAATTAAAAAAGAAGGCATTTTATAAAATAAAAGAGGATTTTTCACTATTTTAATATTATTAATAGAATAATTTTTATTGAAAAAAAAAAAGGGGTGAGAGGCGGAATGTGCCCGCCCTAAGTTTTACCTCCCTCCGTACACTAGGTTACCCTCAAGCAATGACGTCGTACGATAACAACAAGCGTAGGACAAGCGCGTGTGGAGCAATCAACCAAATATAGCATTATGTGGAGGCTCATCCAGCCCTTGGCTGGAAAAAATAGACCTGAATCGCGTGATGGCATCGTATTGTGAATCCTGGACTTTCGCCTCTCCTTCCTTCAACCTGAGGAGAAATTTCTAATTGGATAATTATGGTAGGAATATTAAATGAGTAGATAAAATTTTAAAAATTAAAATATATAAATGTTGATGATTGATTTCTTATTTAAACGTTGATAAACGTGTAATTGATGACATATTTAGTTTGTAAATTTTGTCTCTAAATTTAGTGTCTCTAGTATTACCCTTTCTCATTTTGTTCGAAATACAGATAATACACCATTTCTCATGAAGGTTTTAGTTTTTAAGTTGTTAATTTTTTTAACTAAGTATCTGACTACCTATATAGTAATTAATACATAGTGTACTATACAACATATTTGGAGCCCATGAAAAATATCTCCAACCTGAGGAGCTTTTTTGACGGCTATAAAGTGCTTCCCATCCATCACTTTGGCTACAGCTATGCAAACCACAAACCCTCACAGAAACACAGAGAGATCAATTATTTTAAATTGTTATAATAGTTAGTTGTTAATCAGGAGATTTGGATTAATGGAGTGGTCGTGGCCGGAGGGTCTGCTCTCAAATAGGGGGAGGGTGATGGAGGAGTTGATCCAAGGGCGTGAGCTGGCAAGTCAACTTAGTAGGGCTTTTGATAATAGGTCACTTGTCGTTAATGGTCATGATGGGAGATCGGCTCTAGGTATTGTTAATAAGATTTTGGGGTCATTTGCGAATACCCTTTTGATTTTAAATGGGAAGGAGACTGATCAAGAGTTTGTTTCCGATCAGATTCAAGGAAATAGTAGAGGTGTTGGTGATGGTGGTGGTGGTGTTAGTGACGGTGGTAGTAGTGGTGGTGGTGGTGCATATTCGTCATCTTGGGGTGCTAATCATGGTCATGCAGCTGCTATTAAGCCTGAAGACTATACTGAGGAAGAGAACAGTTGTAGAAGCACTTCAACCACCAAGGATCGAAGAGGTTCTTACAAGAGAAGGTAATTAGTTATATTTCTGTAATTAATTAATATGTAGGTAATATTCATTAACATCTGCATTAACATACTGTTCACAATGATTTTTCTTCCAGTTAAAGACTCTTTCCATGTGTGATTAATTGATTGTTCAATCTCAAACATTTGTGTATGAAACAAACACTAAAGAGTCTTTTACTTCAACAATTACACTGTATATGGATGAAAAAATTTAAGATCACTAAGAAATTTCAAGATGACAGAGATACAAATGACAGAATTTTATTTTCTAGAATTTGTAAATTTTCTTATTTGGTTCAACTAAAAATACAACGGAATTTTAACACATAATTTTTTATTTTTAAACTCTCACTCATAGAAATTTGGAAATAACCTCTTTACATAAAATTTAAACTCAGGAACTGGAGGTCCCAAATTTCAAGTTTTTCTTCACTTGAAAATCCTAAATTTCTATGCTTATGAATCTAAATGAGAGAATTGGTGTATGTCAATTTATAAAATTTAGCTTTTGTCAAAATTTCATATCATCCACATGTGCGTGATAAGAAAAGGTGTAATTAATTTGATCATCGTAGTTGTTAGATTTATATTGATGTGTGAACAACTGTAACTATAATTAATTTACTCATAACAGCTGTTAGATTCAATGAAGGAAAAATATTATTATATTTAATAATGCATAGAATTTCTAATAAGACAAAAGAGTGACTGCCCCTTGCTCTCATATGTTTTCTTAGTGATAGCATTATCACTTAGCCTAAATTGTTGGATTTATATATTAATTTAAAAGTTCTAACAAAGAGTTGCAAGTTGTTGATTCCTTGCAGGAAGACTTCACACTCTTGGACTAGAGACACTCCTGCTTTGATTGATGACGGCCATGCATGGAGAAAGTATGGACAAAAAAATATCCACAATGCCAAGCATCCAAGGTACATACATACACGATTTACCTTGAAAAATTGTAACAAATTTCAATAATTAAACTAGTAACAATTCAAGAAATGAAGATTCCCATAGTTATGTTGTGTGTGTGTGTGTATGCAGGAACTACTTTAGATGCACTCACAAACACGATCAAGCGTGCAAAGCAACCAAGCGCGTTCAACAAGTTCAACATCATCCACCAGTGTTCCGAACCACATATTATGGCACCCACACGTGCAGAGACTGCCTCAAAACTTCTGAACAGGTCTTGGATTGCACAAGTCCTAGAGAGTCTTCAAAGTTCATTAGTTTTGAAAACGCCAACTGGTTGACAAACAAACAAGAGCACCCATTTTTTGCATCCTTCGCTTCATCATCAGTTAAAGAAGATATTGCAACAAATGATCACATAGTGACAAGCGACCACACCCATTCAGTGCGGCATGATCATCCTGTGTCGCATGATCTGACGGCGTTCGAGTCCTCTGGGCCCATGAGTGGGTTTTCATCAAGCATCGATCAGTACGAAGATGGCGACGTGTTTTGGAAGACTGTCGAGTCTTTACTTTGATGAATGAAGTTTTGAAATACGGATATTTGAATTTTGAGTTTTGATGAGTAATAAATACATACTTAGTAGCTGCTAGCGTACGATCCTTGTGGTAAATTGAACTTTAGGAAAATCGTATGAAATATTTGGAACCAATCAGTGTGATGATGACGATGTGTTTTCGAGGATGACTGCCGAGTACTTTGAAAAAATTTGTTGCTTTCTTGGTTTATAAAATATGTAAACACAGTTAATTATCGCAAAACAAAATATACAAGAAGCAATGTTTTCTATTTCTCCTCGTTAAGTGATTAATGGAAGCTTAATTATGCTTAACACCCTTTTCATATACAATGCATGACAATTCTTAATTAATAAAATCAGTTCTTTTCTCCATTATGTGGAGATCTGATAAAATTCGATTTACTATCTATTAAAAGAAACGAAAGAATTATGAAGATCTTACTACATACAAGGAAAATTCCTGGCTATTTTAGTTGTTTTAATTAGAATTTAATGAATAAGTTGGATAGAATTTAAAATATGGCTATCGGATAGAATTTGTTTAATTGGTTGGATGGAAACAAATGACTATGGTGGATATAAGAATTATATCACGTTGTTCTCATTAAAAAATTGAGGGAAATTTGAAACCAATTGCTCACTTTAAATTTAAGCGGAACTTTAAACAAAAACAATGCAAGTAATTAGTTCATGAAAATTTCTAAATATCCAGTGTTGTTGGTGTCAAAATTGGGAGTCTGCATGTTGTGTTCAACACGTGTTCAAACTGTTGGTTTCAGTCTCAATGTCACGGGATGACTCGAGAGAAAGAGAGAATAGGCATGTCACTGTTAGAGGCTGCCAACGTGCAATGTTTGTGTTCGAATGCAGTGTGAAAGTTATGCGTAGATCTGACTTGTTAACCAAATGATTATGCACCTAGTGGAATGCTGATTCGATTAACTTCTTATATGTGCCTCAAATAAACAAGGACATAAATAAACGAGAAAGAAAACTAAAACAAAATACATAATGTAATCATTTTCACGATGAAGTCAAGACTACAAACATTTATAAAAGTAAAATCTAGGCCGACATGCTAAGCTACATGACTTGAAATATAATTAACTAGAAAGGTAAAGAAAAGTATTAAAAGTCTAGCCAAATTCAGGCCATGGACGCCGATATATACTAAAGGAGTCACCGATATCACTCGTATAGGATTGGACTTAGTACAAACCAGATGCCTTTTATAGGAAATCAGAGTGGTTGGAATTGCACGTCAACTGAATCATACCACGGGGTGGCAGAATGGTAAAAGATTTAGATCTCAGGATCATAGGTAGTATTTGCTTTGAATGATGACTTTGAGCTTGTAGCTAAAGAGTTAAGGGGTTTTACTGAAGAGCAAATGGGTTTGTGATGAAAATCAGTTGGTTTGATTGAAGAGTTACTTTAGGTTTTGTTTAATTGTAGAAAATGAATTTGACGAAGGTTCTAAACTTGAAGTCTTCTGGCTCTATTTCTAGGTAGTGGAGAAAGAGCAACCTCAATCAGATCTTATCTAGTGTTGTCAGTGACTGTAATTTCTGCTAGGTGACCTTCAAATGTATCTTAACGCTGTTCGTACGATCTAGAGGTGGCGTGGGCATGTAGGATAATGCGCACATCTACATTAAAGGAGAGGAGTACTTGTAGCGACTTAAGAGGCCCTATTTTTATTTAATTTTGTCCTAAACAAATATGTATGCAATAGTACTTCTCGCAGAAATCTCTTTTGGTATTAGAATTGGGAATTGTTATTAGCACTTCAAAAATCTCATTTGGCACTTCAAACTTTCTATAATTAGAAAAAAAAATACACTTATAAAGAGTGTAGAATGAAATTTTTAAAGTGCTAATAACAGTTCACTTAGAATTTAGACATAAATATGAAAAGATTGTCTGTGTAAGGGGACATGGGACACTAGGCAGATAGTAGCTGGGACTGCACATGAGCAATTTGAAATTTCATATCGTTGCGCGATCCAAAAAGACAGGTACGAAGTGCTTGGGAAGGAAAGATTGTGGTTAAAAATAAAAGATTTAACTAATTTCTAAAATCAAATCTAATGGTTAAAACATGTATCATTGAAATTAAACCCAGGTTTGTTTATAAGAATGGTTTATCCTTGGAATCAAATCCTTAAACAAATAATTCTTAGAAATTCTAGTCTCAGGGAAATAAAATTGCTTTCACATTGATAATGTGTCCATTAGACATTAGGACTCGAGTCTCAAGAAGGCTTTGTTAACAGTATGAATCACACATCAAGGAGTGAAGGAATCCTATTCTTTTTTATTCGCTTAGTTCAAATCTATTTTTATCTGCTTTGTTTGCTTAGCTATTGTCTTGTGGCTCATGTTGAAGAAATTTTTCAGTGTACCAGAAACACAAAACAGTACACCAAGTGTCATAATATAATTTATTAGATTTTTTTTTTAATTTGCAACCATGTATAAGAGGAAAGAGAAGAAATCGGAAACGACCGTGTTTCTGATCCATTGAATTGCGCAATAGTAGCTAGGAAGAGACTTAAATACCCTTGTGAGTCTTCTCGATTTAGAAAAGGTAGACTATCAAGCCACCAACTTGTCCCATTTTCAAAAAGGGAAAAAAAAAAAGGAGAAGAAAAAGGAAAGAGAAGCCCACCAATCTTCAGCAATCATATTGTAAGAATGTGCTTGGAAGTTCCATGTGAATGTATGAATAGAACACTGACAGGGACTAGATGATCAATTAATCAAGATGGGAAGTTTAGGTGGACTCCTTTATTTATCATGCTACAGACAAAATGATGGGAGATATAGTCCAAAGTTCATTTTCTACTTAATTACAAAGGTCATGTATTTTCCAAATTTTGGGATTAGAAAATTTGATTAATTAAGCTTCTGTGAAACTGATGGGAATTGGTTTTATTCATTGATTTGCTCCTGCCGGATGAGTCAAGCTTGCCGAACAAGTTTGTTCAACTTTTAGGTCACCAACTAACAAGATACAAATAACTTTATGCAAAGGGTTTAGTGAGAGATCTTGTTTAGCCAGTTGATTAGAATAATATTCATGTCAATAAATATTATTTTTCCAAGAAAAAGAGAAAGGATTATAATGTTTGAGAAGTTTTATCCTAACCCTAATGTTTTCTGATTTCTTCATTCCAAATTCACTTCTATCAAAAATAAGAAAAATGAAAAACTGTAACGGCTTATCATATTTTTAAAAGTGTGAACCAGTAATTGTTCTAACCATTAGTAGTTTTGCAATAATTTTGACGATTAATCATGTTGGATTTTTCCAGAAAGATAAAAGAGGGCTAAAAGCCCGGTAAAGAGCTGTCTTAGTAAAAATTGGAAAGAGTTTTGCACTCTCTCATTCCCCAAAATTAGCAAGAACAGATTATACTAATTAATTACCCCATATGACCCATAGAAAATACTTTTAAGAGTTTAGCCACCTCATTGTGCACAACGAATGTTAGTGATTATTGTCAACTTTTCTTGTAATGCAAAATGCAGCAATGACCAAACTTGATACCTGCTGCAGAAGATTACACCGTCAAATTGCAACTTATTCTAATCAATATCTAATCTAATTCTGGATGTGATTGAGCAAAGGAAATTACACCACCAAACTGCAACTTATTCACTGCCTTTCTTCTTCAAGTTCATTGGTGGTATGACGTCTTAGGGTTCATGATCAAATTGTCTGGCTCTCTTAGCTAATTATTAGGGTTCAACATGATCAACCCTATAATTATCTAAGAAATCAGCAACCTGATTGCCCTCTCGATAAGTAAGTTAGGCTACTTTCATAATGCCAATTAGTTTTATAGTAAAACCTCAATTTTCTTCAGCAACATATATATTTAAAATAAAAGAATTAAAATGAGGAAGTGAGAAGTGGTTGAGAAGGACGGAGGCAGGAAGATTTGGAGCAATTTGTAACAACATATATATAAATTGTTGACAATAGAGAACTTGTTGACGGGCACGGAAGCAGGAATTGTTGACAAACGGAGCATGTTATTCAAGCTTTTTTTTTCCTTTTTGATAATTCAAGCTACTTCTAATTTAGGGTTTTTGAATCTTTTACTTCTATATTGCTTCATATATGTTAATCATGCTTGATGTATTGCAGCAGAGAAGAGAAATAGACGATGAAGGAAAGGGAGGTGCCCCTCTCGCAATTTGAGCTTTATATGAATGAATTTCCATGAAACTAGCAGGAAATTTTGTTTAAAAAGAAATTTGTAGAGGGTCGATGATGATTGACGACACATGAGAAAAAACTATGAGAATCTGAAAGTAAAAGATTCCTACGTTAGTGAAAGAAGAAACTTTTAAGGTTTATAAGAGATTCGGCTACTCCCCATATGGCCAATTAGTTTTATGATGGAACTCCAACTTTCTTTGTAGTATCAGAACAGGTTGGCCTACGTATGAAGCCCAATAGCCACACGTGCTTACATCACCCAATTCGTGATGTCCACATGTTTAATTTGAAAATTTACCGCACGTAAGAGGACGTGCACATTACAACTAGGTTCAATTTTTGTAAATCATTTAAATTTTTCTTTGATCTAAATCAAAACAAATTGGTCACTACGATTTTGTATCGGTCAGTTTGGCCAGATTGGTGAGCACCCTGGAACCCAGTGTCCCACTCGTCGACAGCTAGCAGTGGTACTCTCTCACACACCCCTTTCTCTCAAGCCTTCTAATGGGGTTGAGAGGAAATAAGTAATTAGGAAAAACAAGTTATCAAGGTGGCGTAAACTAAACTATTCTGGACGCAGTTGCACCTAACCTAACCTACATCTGTATAGAATTGTTGTTCAAATGTTAACAACTCCAAGTCCAAAAACAGGGAAGAGGATCCTCTCCGGATTCACTTTGTGGGGATCTTAGGAATCTCCACATCCTAGTCATTCATCGTACATCGTAAGGTCATTTTTCGTCAAGTACTATTTGTGTTTAATTTTAAATAAAAAATAATTAAATAATTTTTACCACTCGATGCACGATGAATGGCTAAAATGTGAGGATCCCTAGGATCCCCACAATTTGGATCCGGATGGGATTCAAGTCCCAAAAACAGCACATCTAAGGGGCGTTTGTTTGCAATCATTAAAGTTCATTGGAATGG